TCAGTACCATGTCCCCTGCTCCCCCCAGCACAGTTGGGGCCACATTAGCGAGGCTTGGGGGGGGGGGGTTGGAGGAGGGGTTTTTTTTTGCATCTCTCTTGTGTGGCCCCAACTGACTTTTCTGTGGGTCAGTGACCCCGACTCAAAACAGGTTTCCTGCCCTTCTCATAAATAAAGACAGTGCAGAAACTTTTTGTGTTTGACATAGTATTGTATTTAAAAATGGAGCCTGGCCAAACCCCCAATTGGGGCCAAGCCCCCATCTGGCCACAGCATTATAACACTCCTGCACTCCCCTTTCCCCCACATCCTACATCTGAGCCTGTCATACGCTGGAACCCCCTGCCCTGAGCCCCTCACATACCCCAACCCACATTCCTGAACCCTCACATCCAGAAGTCTGTGGCTTGTTTTATACTCTAACCCTATATCTGACCCCAACACTGCCCGGCCTGGCGCTCCCTCCCCGAGCCAGCGTCCCCTTATCCACCTTCTCCTGCATCCAGATTTCCTCCCAGAGCTTGTACCTCTCACCCGTTCCCACACCCAAATCCCTCATTCCCACCCCGGAGCCTACACATCCTGTCTCAACCCAACGAGGTTATGGCTAGACTGCAGGAATTTTTCAGGATTCCAGAGATATCCCAGAAAAACTTCTGAATCCAGGGATGCATTTGTTCTTCCACTTCTTTTAGTGGAAGAGCAAACATGATCTTTTGGTCATCCCTATATTCCTCTTTCTATGAGGAATAAGGTAGCTTCCAAAAGAAGGGGTTTTTACTTGCGAGTGACAAGATACCAAGATCTGCTGCCTTGGGAATGTGTATTTGTAGGTCTGCTTGCCTGTAAGTGTCTGGGCTTTCACAAGGAAATTTACAAAAGCTTCTGAAAATACTACATAGCTGGCATGACAGAGGAAAATGCTGTAAGGGTAGCACTGCAGGTTCATACTTCTGCCTACTGTTTTTTGGGGATAAATGTGCCTCTAGGACATTTTATTTCACCCTGTTTGATGCTTGGTATCTGAGACCCAGGGGCAAGAAACCTGTAGGCTAGTCTTTAGAGGAGAAATACGATAAGTAACTTTCCTATCTTAACATTACATGTGACTTAATTCTATTGTTGTAGCATTTGCAGTGGCAATTATAGATCTGGAATTTACACTCAGTTTAGGAATTAGATATAATAGTCTTATTCTTCAGAATAATTTACAGAGGCATACAATAAAATATTTGCCATGTAAATTGCAGCATTATATTAATAGTCCATCTTGGCCAGTATCTTGTTTCCAACAATGGCCTGTAGTGGGCTTCAGGGCTATTATGCAGTGTTTCAGCCATCTTCGGGACCATCTTTTGGGAAGTCAGGTTGATAGGCATCCTGAGCAGGGGATTGTGCTCTGACCATCTTAGCTAATAGCTGCTGGATGGATCTATGTTACTTGTGCACTGTATTAAAAAAAGTATTTCCACTTGAGTTAAAGCTGCTGCCTTTTAATTTCATGGGGGTGACTCTTGGTTTTTATTGTGTGAGAAAGTAAATAACACTTTTCTGTTCACTTTTCCAAACCATTCTTGATTTGTATAAAGTTAGCCATCTCTTTTGTAAACTGAACATTCTTAATCATTTTATTTTGTCCTTGAATGGAAGCCATGCCTTGCCATTGGTCATCTTTGTCAACTTTGCACTGTACTTTTTTGAGATGGGATAACTAAAGAGTTGACAAAGATTTGAGTTGTGGGTACAGAAGAGTCAAAAGAGATGGGAGCCTGACACCGGGCTCCCCACTGCATTTCAAAGCGGCAGTGCTGCATGGAGCCCGGGGCCAGCTGGGGAGTCCCCAGTAGACCCCGGGCTCTATGCGGTGCTTTCACTCAAAGGCGCCCTATCAACTAACTGAATAGTCAGTGCAAAATGCATCAACTATTCGATTAGTCAGTTACTCGCAATGTAACATCCCTAGAGGGCATATCGTAGATTTATACAGTGGCATTATATTTTATTTGTCTCTTTCTTAACAATTCCTAACCTATGTTAATCTTTGTGGCTGCTGCTGCTGTGCATTTAACAGAGGTTTTCAGAGAGAGAAACTCAGTCACTCCGAGGTCTATCTTGGGTGGTCACCAATCATTGTCTGTCTAGTTAAGATTATTTTTTCAAGTTTGAATTACTTTGTGTGAATCAGTGTCAAATGTTGTTTGCTGTTTTGTTGCCCAGTTATCATAAAATCATTGGCCTGGAAGGGACCTCGAGAGGTTATCTAGTCCAGTCCCCTGCACTTATGGAAGGATTAAATATTAATTCAGTCAGCCAGTTTTGATAAATTCCTCTTAATGTCTCAGTCTGCATTGGACTAGGGATGTTAAAATATGTTTAATTATGTAGTTGTGTAGCCGCTGAAAATATGTATCAGAGGCAACAGAATGGGGAGGGAGAGAAGGAGAAGGGGAGGCTCCATAGGAGCCAGTGCATGATACCGAGGCAGCAGTGGGAGGGCACGGAGGGGAGGGAGTTCTGCATGTACCATGCACGTTACAAGTTGAGCCCAGGCTCGTTGGTTAGCTGTGTAAACAGTTACACTTTCACATCCCTACTTTGCACTTCAGTAATTTTGTATTATCTGCTAACTTTGCCGCTTCACTGTTTACCCTTTTTACCAGATCGTTAATGAATACCTTGAGCAGCATGGGTCCCTGTGCAGATTTTGGGGAACCCTACTTTTCATCTCTCCATTAAAGTAACCATTTATTCCTATCACGTTTCTTGTCTTTCAACCACTTACTGATCCATAAAAGGACCTTTCCTCTTATCTCATGGCTGTTTAGTTTCCTTGAGACTCTTTGGTGACTGATCTTGTCAAAGGCTTCCTGGAAATCTGGATACAATGTGTCAACAGGATCACCCTTATTGACATGCTTGTTTACTCCTTCATGTAATTCTTATAGATTGGTGAGGCGTGATTTCCCTTTGCAAAAACCATGTTGACTCTTCCCCAACAAACTGGGTCCGTCCTATAGTTCTGCCAGTTGTCTGGTATTGAAGTTAGACTCACTGATCTGTAATTGCCAAGATCTCCTCTGGAGCTCTTTTTAAAAATCAGTGTTTATAGTAGCATCCTTTCTGTCATTTGGGGGAGAGGCTAATTTCAGTAAGAAGTTCTGTACAAAAGTTTGTAGTTCTACAGCTTCATACTTCAGTTCCTCCAGGACTCTTGCATGAATGCCACCTGATCCTGGTGACACACAACTGTTTAACTTACCATTATGTTCTAAAACCTCTTTTACTGACATCAATTTTGGGCAGTACTTCAGATTTGTTGCCCAAACCAGCCTTGTCCCATTGTCACTGTGCCAGTGACCTAGCTAAAGCCTGTCAGACAAGTCTCATGGCTGAAAATAAAGCTGAGTATTGTAAATCAGTATGATCCAATGTCTAAAAATACTTTGAGGAACTAGCCTTCCCTGTCCGATTCCTAAGTGGATCTAAGAGTTGGTAAAAAGACACATAGGAGATAGCATTCCAAAATACCCTCACAGAAATTGCTTTTTTTAGTTGACAGAGTTGAAGGCAGACTTTCAGTACCAGGAGTCTAATTTAAGGACGAAAATGAACAGTATGGAAAAAGCTCACAAGGAAACAGTGGAGCAACTGCAGGTAAATATTGAATTAGTTTTAATAGACTGGATGTCACAATAATTTGTATATTTACTTTGCCAAATGAAATAGTTTAAATATAACCATTGTGGCTTGTTATCCTTGAATGAGAGTTAGCAGTCATTGGAATGGATGAATCAGATCCCTTCTGAGCTGTTTCAGGCACTTTGCACAGTTGGGCCTCTCTGGCTACGTCTACACTGGCAGTTTCTTGCGCAAGAACTCTTTTGCGGAAGAGTTCTTGTGCAAAAACTCTTCCAGAAGAGAGCATCTACACTGCCATGTGCTTTTGCGCAAGAGCATCCATGGCAGTGTAGACACTCTCTTGCACAAGGAAGCTCTGATGGCCATTTTAACCATAGGGGCTTCTTGCGCAAGAAATTCATGTAGCCTGTCTACACTGGCCTCTTTTGGAAGAGCTCTTGCGCAAGAGGGCTTATTCATCGTGGAGAGAGGAATAACTCTTTTGGAAGAAGCCCTGTTTTACAACGCAGTACTGTAAATTTACTTCTGGAAAAACGCTCATGCAGTGTAGACTGCCGGCAAGTTTTTGCGGAAGAACAGCTGTTCTTGCGCAAGAAGCTGCCAGTGTAGACGTAGCCTCATTGTCTCTCCTTGAGTTATACCTGCATTATCCTCAGTTTTCTTTTCAAACACAAACACTTGGAACGTTAATGTATAGTTGTTTAAATGGTTAACCGATAAACCTGGGATTATCGGTTAATCCAAATGACTACACTCATCCTCTCCCTTGCTGCCTCTGTATCAGAGGCAGCAAAGTGAGGGAAGAGGCGGGAACCAGCTTTTAAGCCAGCTTCCCATGTGTGCTGGTTCCCGTGGAACTGCCTTTCCCTGCTGGTTTCCACAGAGGCAGCAGTGCAAGAGGCAGGTGGGAAACGGTGCTGGGGGAAGCTGGCTTAAAAGCCCTCTCCCCATGAGCACGGGACCCTGCAGTGCCACCTGCCCCCATTCCCACATTGCTGCCTCTAATAGAGGCAGCAGTATGGAGGGTGAGGGGGGCAGGCAGGAGCCAGTACATGTTGGGGGCTGACTCCTCAAAGCCGTCCCCCCTCCCCCCCCACACACACACCCCTACCTCCCAGAGAGGTGGGAGCCAGTGTTCCAGGAAGAACACCAGCTCTCTCCAGGAGCACCAGCTTCACTGAGCTGACTTGTTTTAAACCAGCTCCCCTTGCGGACTGGCTCTGCCCGCCACCTCATGTTGTTGCCTCTGATAGAGAGGCAGCAGGAGACTCCCTGGGAGGGGACCCAGGAGAGCACTGGCTGCCAGCCCCGCCCCGAGGAGTATTTCAGTAATTGTGTAACCAGTAAACTTATTTGTGTCTACACAGTTACTAAAATAAATGTTGTTTAACATCCCTAATAACCACTAGATACTCTTTTGAACAATTGAGGAACACATGCACCCAGTTGTTTCTCCTGCCCCCCTTTACAAGGAGCATGCCTCATGCTTTAAGAAACACTAGCACAGGTTGGACCTTGCTGGTCTGGCACTCTTGGGACCTTATCGTCCTGAACAAGGGGATGTGCCAGACCAGGGAAGCTCCTTCCCCTTGTGGCCGTGCTGCCACTGAGCTAGGGCGCCAGCCTGCCCCCACTACCGCTTCAGCTCCAAGGGGTCTTGCTGGCCCCACTACTTGGGCCAGAGTACCACAGCCGGGGCAGAGCTCTGCGGCTGCCTGACTCTGCGTCTGGGAATGGGACAGAGGGATGGGGCCAGAGCTCCGTTGCCTGGGCCGGAGGTCCATGGACATGGGCAGGCTAAAGCTCCCCAGCCACTGGGGCCTGGGAGCCCCTCTGGGGCCAGAACTCACCACCATGCCATCTGTCCTTCTCCCAGTGCACACACTGGGCTCCCAGCTGAGTCACTGGTGTCCCTTACAGCTCTTGGCTATGCTCCAGGAACATCAGTGGTCCATGCTGGACCACGGATGTTGCGGGACCAGGGAGTCCTGGTTAAGGGAGGCATAATCTGTATACCTAGGGGTATGTCTACACTACCACCCTAGTTCGAACTAGGGTGGTTAATGTAGGCAACCGGAGCTGCAAATGAAGCCCGGGATTGGAATTTCCCGGGCTTCATTTGCATCTCGCTGGGCGCCGCCATTTTTAAATGTCCGCTAGTGCGGACTCCGTGCTGCGCGGCTATACGTGGCACGAACTAGGTAGTTTGGACTAGGCTTCCTAGTCTGTGCCGCATGTAGGCGCGCGGCACGGAGTCCCCACTAGCAGACATTTAAAAATGGCGGTGCCCTGTGAGATGCAAATGAAGCCTGGGAAATTCAAATCCTGGGCTTCATTTGCAACTCTGGTTGCCTACATTACCACCCTAGTTCAAACTAGGGTGGTAGTGTAGACATACCCTATTTGATGTGATATAATGACCCAGCACAACTGCACACATTTATTGCAGTCCAAGAGTCTATTCAAAGATGTAACCAACATTTAAAGTACAACTGTTTGACCAACAGGAATACCTGAATCAATATCTTGAAGTAGATACATTGGTTTTGCAAATCCATGTGAGGGATTGGGCTTTATATCTTCCTTTATAAAACTAGTGAAAGATGTGCAGTTTAAATACCTGCACTGCTAGAAAACTTTTGCCCTTATATTGGTTTTTTCTCAGGAATGAAACTTTTGAGACAAGGTTGCTTTATAACTTCAGCAAGACAGTTGAGCATGGCATTGTTGCATAAATGTTCCCTCCTATTCAAGAAGTTTGTTTTCTTACTTGTGTGTCACTGATGGATATTATACTGTAATTAAGAGCAACTATTAGGATTTTCAAACATGTTTTATGTTTAAACAGCAGGAAGTGCTTATACAATTTTTTTTCTTTATCTATATTACAGGCCAAAAACCGAGAACTACTCAAACAGGTTGCAGCATTGTCAAAGGGTAAAAAGTTTGATAAAAGTGGAAGTATACTAACATCTCCATGAGGAATTGGCTACTTACATGAGGATTACTACTCAATGTACATTTGAGTAATTCTGTGAAGCCCTTAAAATCCTGTGTAGTGGCAAAATATTTTTGCGCACAAGATTACTCGGCATGTTTCCTACACATTTTTATAACTAATATGCAGCTTTTTAGTTAAACTGTTCAGATAAAGTACTTCAACTGGCTTGAAGAAATTTTATTATTATTTTTTTTTATATTGGGAACTTTTTTGCCAGCAATAGTATTAAACCAATTGCAGAGGGATAATACCGCAATGCTCTCTTTAAAACACATCATGCAATAACAAAATAGGTGTACTTTCTCCAGAGTTCAAAGTAGCAACTCAGTCCCTTAAACAATGCTAACTTTGGCCAAAAGTTCAGTTTCAAGTTTATAAATCCTCAAGTACAACACTTTTGGAGTAAGAATATGGACACTGGGTTCTGGCAACTGTTCTTCTGCTTTATATTAAAATATAGTACATTTAGGATGGAAATCATGGTGCTCTTAAACTCAAAAGATGTATACATGTGTAAATATAATTGTAAGTTTATTCTTAGTGATAACAAGTGCGTAACTAGTGTTTTACATTCTTGTGATAGGAATTTATTGAAAGATTATCTATTGTACAGTATCAGAGGCAAATTGTGGTTTTTGTAAGATTACTGTAGATTTTTTTCTTGCAAGTGCCTTTCTCCAACTGTTTATTTATAGGAATGTTGGTATTTTGTACATAATGTTTTAAAATTATGTTTGATAAATGTTTGTGTATATAAATGTGTGTACAGAAGAATCAAAAACAAAGATCAAAGTTGCTAGTGCAGTGCTTGAAGCAGAATTGAGAACTGGCTAGTTGATGGACAATGTGTATTGACTTTTAACCTTATTAGATTGCATTTGTGGGGTTTGTTGGGTCTGGTTAGTGCTTATTATGCCAAACAATTCCCAAATAAACAATTTGTATGTTTTGCCACACTAGACTATAATGTTTTATGTATTTTTTCCTCTAGTCCAGTGCTAACTTTTTTTAATTTCATAGCAAGCATTGTATTCCCAATGTTATATCTTGAATTAGCAGTATAGTTAATACTCACGACTTTTTTAAACTTGAATATTCAGTTTGTCTTGGTTTTAAATGTACTTAGTTGCAACTTATGATCGGTTTTTAAAAATTAACTAGATTGACACGTACTTAGTTTAGTGAAAATACACATTGAGAAAAAACAGTAGGCAAAACTGGTTAGTATGTTAATAAAGGGAATGGATATGATGTCCAATGAAAGCTGATTGTTAAATCCCTCAAATGGAATCTTCTGCTTTTACATTCAGTTAAGTTTAGTTTTAGCTCTGCTCCTAATGGATATTAGTACAAGTGTCTTAGTAAGATGAAACAATTTTGCATAACTGGAGGTATACTGTTGAGGAAAGCCAGTTCCAAACCAGCATAACTTGGAATAGTTTTCTGTCAGCTGGTAGCTCTAGTTCAGATGTGGATGTTGATTTAGTAACTTGGGAACTGCTTGCACTTCAGTTAGCTTATTGTCTGTTAGATCTTGCTGTTTGGAGGACTAGTCCTCTAGCTATCTGTCTATCCAGGTGCTACTGAACTGTGAATAACTTCAGTAGTTTAGATAAGACTAAGTCTAATGAATAATTATAATTTGGAAAAATCAAGCCTGTTTATTTCATACAGTGAAGATTCCATTTTTTTTACATGAAAATCAATTTGTAAGATTTTAAAAACTTGTTTAAACTTACTAATACAGCTAGGATACAAAATGCTGCTGCTATCCTATTGGGATGTTAGTGTATTGAGAGGGTTTTTTTTTAAATAGAAATAATTTTTCTGACTTTCATTATTTCAAAATATTTTGATACTGTGGGTTTTTTTCCTCCACCTTACTGGCCACCAGCATGTAGTGCGTGTGATTTTTTAAAAACAGATTCAGAGAACCATGCACATCTAATTGATAAATCATCCCATTAAGTGATTCTTATTCAAACCTACTGGAGCTGCAATAAAAGTTGTCTTTTTTTTTTTTTAAAGGAGATATTGAAGTTCACTATTGATAAATACTTGAGCTTTATAGATCCCAGTACTAAAAACATTTAGGGGCTTCACAGTATTTAGTTCTAATTAAATATTTGATCTCTTTATTCTGTAACCTAACTTTGAACTTTAAAAATGTAAACTAGCAAATTGAATCCCAGTCCTGATGAATGCTATCCTGGAGCTGTCAAGTATTGACACAATGAACTGATCTTTAAATGTTGATCTGCAAGGTGATATGATGTACTGTAATGTGCTTTTTAGCTTATTTTCAGTTGTCTGTTAGCATTGACACATGATTGCCATTTTGGCTCAAGTTATTTATGTATTTTAAGTGAATATTGCAGTCCCCTTCTTAGATAGTATGTGCATTCTGCAGTGAAGCTATTCAGCTATCCACATGTATAGACTATTGAAATACTGTATTGACACACATCTGACTGACATTTTGTACCTTTTTCTAAATCCAATATTTCACAATAAAAGCTTGTCAAAACATGTAGTTGTCCATTTTATTTCTCAGCCATAATTAATAAAACATCTGTACTTCCAAACATTAACCAGAATTCAACATCAATGCCACTTTTGAGGGAAATTAAAGGATATGTTCAGTGAACTAAACTGCCAGAAATTACATAGATGGTGCATTCTTCAAATTACAAAAAGTAATAGTTTTGGAATAATTACCTACTTTGGTGACACGTCACTCTGTACTCCACAACAGAATAGAAATAATGCCTGGAATTGTTTCTAGCAATAACTAAATGTGTAACTCAACAGACATAGGCCTAATCTGATTAGCTTTTATGATGAGGTAACTGGTTCTGTGGATATGGGAAAGTCAGTGCATGTGATATACCTTGACTTTAGCAAAACTTTTGATTTGGTCTCCCACAATATTCTTGCCAGCAAGTTAAGGATGTATGGATTGGATAAATGGACTGTAAAGAGGATAGACAGTTTACTTGATTGTCAGGCCCAACGACTATTGATCAATAGCTCAATGTCTGGTTGGTGGTTGGTTTCAAGTGAAGTGTCCCAAGGATTGGTTCTAGGGCTGGTTTTGTTCAACATCTTTATTAATGACCTGTACAAGGGTATGGATTGCACCCTCAGCAAATTTGTGGATGACACTAAGCTAGGGGGAGAGGTAGATACATTGGAGGGCAGGGATAGGGTCCAGCGTGACCTAGACAAATTAGAGGATTAGACCAAAAGAAATCTGATGCGGTAGGACAAGTGCAGAGTCCTGCACTTGGGACAGAAGAATCTCAAGCATTACAGGCTGGGGGCCAACTGACTGAGTAGCAGTTTAATCCCCAGCTCCTTTTCTGCCACAGTGGATGAGAAGCTGGATATGAGTCAACAATGTGCCTTTGTAGCCAAGAAGGATAATGGCATATTGGTGTACATTAGGTGGAGCATTTCCAGTAAATCTAGAGAAGTGATTATTCCCTTTTATTGGCACTGGTGAGGCCACATCTGGAGTATTGTGTCCAGTTCTGGGCCACTCACTACAGAAAGGATGTGAACACATTGGTGAGGGTCCAGCGGAGACAACCAAAATGATTAGGAGGCTGGGGCACATGACCTACGAGGAGGAAAGGCTGAGGGATTTGGGCTTACTTAGTCTGCAGAAGAGGAGAGAGAGGGGAGATTTCATAGCAGCCTTCAATTTCCTGAAGGGAGGTTCCAAAGAAGGAAAGAGGCTGTTCGCAGTAGAGATGGATGGCAGAACAAGATGCAATGCTCTCAAGTTACAGTGGGGAAGGTCTAGGTTGGATATTAGGAAAAACTCTGTCATTAGGAGGGTGGTGAAGCACTGGAATGGGTTTCCTAGGGAGGTGGTGGAATCTCCATCGCTAGAGGTTTTTAAGTTGTGGCTTGACAAAGCCCTGGCTGGGATAATTTAGTTGGGATTGGTCCTGCTTTGGGCAGGGGGCTGAACTCGATGACCTCCTGAAATCTCTTCTAGCCATAGGATTCTGTGATTCTTACCTAGACCTGCAATTTAGGCCAACTTAGCTGCATCGCTCAGAGTTGTGAAAATGTTCACGCCTTGTGCAATGTAGTTCAGCTGACCTAACCCCAATTGTAAATGCAGCTGTGTTGTCAGAAGTAGTTTTCCTTTTGACCTAGTTATTGTCTGTCTCAAGTGGGGGAGAGGGATTTACCACAGCACTGGGGAAAATCTCATGTTGCTATAATACAGAGGGTTGGGGGGGCTATCGCTAGCTTGCCCTACTCCAGTGCTCTAACTAGAAGTGGTGGCCAGGACTTGTTCTGTGGCTCCTGGAAGCACAGGTTGCCAGGAGGCTCTATACAAAGCCTCCACCCCATGTGCCGGCTTCATAGCCTCCATTGGCTGGGAACTGCAGTCAATGGGAGCTGTGAAGGTGGTGCTTGCACACAGGGCAATGTGTACAGATGCCTGGCTATCCAAGTAGGAGCTGGAGGGGGGACATAGCACTGTTTCTGGGAGGTGCTTGATGTAAGCGCTGCCCAGAGTCTGCACTACTGAACCTCTCCTGTTCTATGAACCCCTCATCCCTGGCCCCATCCTAGAGCTGCACTTGAACCAGAGACCCTCACTCACTCCTGCATTTCATTGCCTGCCCCAGCCTGTCGTCCCTTCCTGCACCCTGAGCTCATTTGTTCCTTCACCTCCTGCCAGAGCCCTCTCCCCAATCCCAATTTTGTGAGCATTTATGGTCCTCCATAAAATGTCCATACCGAGATGTGGCTCTCAGGCCAAATAGTTAGCATCCCACCCTAATACTGTCTACTATAGCTGCCCTGCAGTTGTGCCATGGCAGTGCTTGTAGTATATACAGACCCTGAGTGAGACTTCCTAAGCATTTAGCAGAAAACTTGGATGCCGTAAAATTGGGAAAGGCTAACTGAAAGATTATTTCAAATTGATGGAATTTCCTCATGTTGAGTTTTGATAGAGCTGGTTCATTAAACTGCAGACTATTTCTCTATGCCATGTGCTTTGCCTTCAAAAACCTGGCTACTTCATTTTATTTATGTGAACTATTCACATCACTACACTAGGAAACTAGTTGGGTGGGCTTATTAATGTATAGCATCTTGGAGTTAATGTAAGGTCTTTTCCTGTGAGTTTTGGAAGTATTTAACTTGACCTGCATTCCATTATGGGAAGGGCTCTGATATTAATCTTTCAATCTTCAGAGTGTTTACTCAAATGTGAACATAATAAATAGCTGCTGCTTGGCTCAGCTCATCTTAGGCAGCAACAGCTGCTATGACCAATCCTGTCATCACTACAATGAAACCAGTCTCAGCCGAACAGTGCTCTTAAGCCAGAGCAAACTTGGGTCAGGCCCAGAGCTGAAGAAGAAGAACTCTGTGTAGCTTCACAAGTTTGTCTCTCACCAACAGAAGTTAGTCCAGCTAAAGCTTGCACGCCTTTTGTCTCAGGTTTTAATTATACGATTTTAAAGCTAACTGAGTTGCATGTGTGAACATGACTCATTTAAAACCTGGCTTCTATCTGTATAAGCCTGTATAAGTAGCTGCACAGGGTTTTGCATTGTTTAATGAAATCTGATTTTAAACTGGCCCAAGTTGTGTATATATAAAGACTGCTGTGCTTGGCAGTTTGCAGGATCTCTGATGAGCACTGAATTTACACTTTTAAGAAAACCAAGTTGTACTGAATTCAAATAGTCAAATTTGTCATCCTTAGCAGAGTAAAAACTTGACTACATCATCCTTGTATACATGTCCATATTTATACAGTTCTTGACTTGTGTCCAGTCTCTAAAACTAACTTAATAGAACATAACAGAGAATTCAGCATTTTACCTTAAGTTTTCCTACTAAGGAACCTAACACTTGATAGCTGTTGGCAGTGTAAACATGGCTTGCATATCTTAAGGATCAAGCACTGTTATAAAAGAGCATCATGCAAAGGTATTTTTAAACAAATACCATGCCCAGAAGTTACACAAGCACTATTGTAATTGATAACTTCAGATTCAGAAATGATTCATGCATACATTAGATAATCCCATTCAGTAAATCATAAACTTTCCCATGATACTTCACATGACCCATCTTGGATAAAACCTATCATAGTTATGTCATACTCGTATCATATATCAGTGAAGACTACGGGGTGTAGTGGCTCAGTGACCACTTCCCATACAAGCAGCTTTCTTCCGGAAGTGGCAACTGCAAGAGGGAATGACTTAACCAATATACATAAATGAATTTCCCTTGCAGTTTTTGGTTAAAGAAATCTTGTTCCTTCTGGTGACAGACTGCTTCTGTTAGTGGAGTGTAACTAGTAACATAACTTGTTACACTTTTTCAACTATGCTGTAATTCACTTGTGTATTAGTATGGATGAAAGTGGTTTTTGAAGATGTTAGAACATGTCTGGTGTTTAAACCTCATGAAAACTAATGGGATGTTGCATGCATTGCTTTCCCTTATCTGTATCCTCTTAGAATAAAATAGCAAGCATACACATTGTGTATTCCTTATATCTAAGTCAGCGATGAAACAAACATAAGGAAGCCATGTATAATTCAAATGAAGGACTATAACAGGAAGGTGCAAATTCCTGTTCCAAGCAAGTGGTATTGTGTGATTGTGTGTGATGCATTCCCTTGTCTCCATCATCAAAGAGAGCATATAGGCAGCTGAATTGTCCACTTGTTCTTCTTTGAGCAGAAGTTGTAAGAATGAACACAAGGAAAAAATCTTTGTCAGATTACTACAGCCGTGCTACCTTTTGAATTACATACTCACCTGTACACATATATTTACCTGCTTTAATCTCTCCATAATTTTCATTCCTTTTGTGTAGCTAACAAAACTTAATTTTGGGGATTTGGCATCACCTGAATATTGTGATTTTTTTATGTAAATTATCATTAATCATAGTGTTTAGTTTGCCTGGGTGGCAAGATAGATTGGAGTGTCTAAGGGGAGTGTTTCTGACTCCATTATAAGAATGCTGTAGTACTTTGGAAGTTCACATGTATTAGTGGATTAGTGAAATAGAATAGAGCATAACACCAGTTTGGGGTGTTTACCCTGTTTTTGACAGTCTGACCTTATGTAGGCATTCAGAGATGTGAGCCACTTCAGATAGTGTAACAGTGAGTGCCTGTGCACGTGTAGCTAGTTTTTTTAGGAAACTCTCCCTTAAATATTGGACAGAACGCATATTGTGTAGTTTCCACAAGTCCTTACCCTTATTACTTAAACACTGAATTTTAAAAATCTGCCCTGAGCTGAACGTGAATGGCTGCTTGTTCAGTATTAACCACTAGATGCTGCTTAAACCACATACTTTTCCCAGAAGCATATGCTGCAAAACATATTGCTGAACACATCCAGCAGCTACAAAAGAGATTTCATTCTCTGTCCTTCCAAAGTCACCAAATTGAAAACACCTTGAATCCTTAAATTGTCTCTAGATCGCTTGTAATAGTTATGTAAACTGAAACTATGAAAGCTAT